AGGTTGAAGCAGAAATCTTGTATAACAAGTAAATAAAAAAAATTGGGGTCAGGGAGCCAGACATGGTGACATACATACACCCGTAATCCCACACTTGGGAGGATGGGATTGGAAGCTTTGAGGTTCAAAGGCAGCCTAAGCTACAAAGAACAGCCTAGACTACAAAGCAAGAGCCTGTATGAGAACAGGAAACAGCAGCAAAATTGAGAACAGATAACCACAAACACCTAACTTACAATGGAGCCAAAAACAACCCTCTTAAACTTCTGATCCTACTGAATGATAGGATTATATGCATGCCAGGCAAGCACTCTTCTAACTGACCTACATCCCTAGGCTGTCTCCCCACCCGCAAGGTCTCATGTAGCCCAGGCTGAGCTCATTATGTGTCTGAGGCTAACCTTAAACTCCTGATCTTCTTGCCCCCACCTCCCAAAATTAAGTGCTCTTTCACAACTTATTGCATGGTATCACTTGGAATGTTTTTCTAGGCCTAATAATTAAAATCTCAGACTTTTCAGGTCAATAATTTTTTTTCTTTTTTGGTTTTTCAAGACAGGGTTTCTTTGTGGCTTTGGAGTCTGTCCTGGAACTCCCTCTGTAGGGAGGCCTGGTCTAGGTTGGCCTCGAACTCACAAAGATCCGCCTGCCTCTGCCTCCCAAGTGCTGGAATTAAAGGCATGCACCACCAACACCTGGCCAGGTCAATAATTTCAGACGATGAGGATTTCGTCTCTATGAAAAACTGCCATGACAAAAAAAAAGGGACAAGGAGAGATGGAAGAAGTTGGAATGGAAGCCTGCTTCTTTAGAGAAGAAAAGGACAGGACCATACACTGTCTGCAGGGTCAAAGGGCAGCCTATGGAGGTGCCCAACTGTCCCGAAGACTTGGGGTGGTTGGTGTTGTGGCTGATGGTTCTTCCTTTGGCCCACAGATACAGTCTCAGCTATTCTCACGGCTGGGGATGTCCGAGCTCTTAACCTCAACCGCAGTTCACCCTGCCTTCATATCCTACCTGCCCTGCCCCTGCCCCTGCTTACCTGTCTCCTGCCTTCCTTCCGGTAGGCAGGTGGAACTCTGCCTGCTTCTCAATGGTAACATGTGATCACAATCGTCCTCGTTCCCCACTATGGGTCTCTCCATGTGCTGGGTGGTTTCGTGTCAGCTTGACACAGGCTAAAGTCATCTGACAAGAGGGAGCCTTAAACGAGAAAAAGCCTCCATAAGACTGGGCTGTAGGCCAAGCAGTAAGTCGTTTTCTTAATTAGTGATTGTTGTGGGAAGGCTCACCCCATCGCCGGTGGTGCTGTCCCTGGGCTGGAGTCCTGGGTTCTATAAGAAAGCAGGCAGATCAAGCCATGGGGAGCAAGCCATTAAGCAGCACCCCTCCATGGACTGCATCAGCTCCTGCCTCCAGGATCCTGCCCTGTTTGAGTTCCTGTCCTGACTTCTCTCAATAATGAACTGTATGTTGAACTGTGGAAGTATAAGGCCAAATAAACCCTTTCCTCCTCAACTTGCTTTTTGGTCCTGGTGTTTCATCTCAGCAACAGAAACCTGAAGACAAGCAGTGAGGGGCACATTTAGGAAAGGCAACACAGACCTTGACTCTGAATGTTTCGGGTCTTGGTGCTGACCATAGATGAGTAGATGTTGGTAAAACCACTAAAAGACAGCTTGTGAGAAAGAAATAAAGATTAATTCCCTCAGAGGTGAGCAGAGTGCAACGTGTACTGAACATGTGGAAATAGCATTTTTGAATGAGCCCCAAGATGAAACTCCTTGTGTAGGAAGCACGGCTGGGACAGATCATGGCATGGACTGCAGAGTCTCACTACCATCTTGTGAAGCTCGGCTCTACCAATACCTAGTTGGTGACCTGGGCTTAGCCTCTCTATGCTTCGGCCTTTTCCTTCGTAAAATGCAGATAAAGATGTTCACCTTCTATATCTCTGATGAGTATAAAACTCGCTTAAGACAGGTGAAGCATTTGGCATATGGCAAACGCCGGTAATAGTAAGGGTGGCTGAGGGTTGTTCTCTGGAGTAAGTGTGCAAATGAAGGGAGCAGGCCCTCCCTGTCCGTAATTCATTAATTCTGTCTGGGAAGAACGAGCAGTGTGAAGACCCTGCCTGAGAAGGCTTACACAAGCCATTGCCATTGGCCTGCCGGGCAGCAGCCCTGGCGTGCAGACGAGGCGGGGCTGCGGGGCTACGCGGGGCTGTAAACAGGGGCGGGCTGTGTCGCTGCGGTGTGGCGGCTCCCACCGCT